TCTCAAGATACATTTTTGTGGCTTAAGTTGTTTCGTATAAACATCCCCAAGAAAGTTTTGTGTCTTTAGTTGTTTCGTATTACCACCCTCAAGATAAAGTTGTGTGGCTTTAGTTGTAACTTAAGTTGTCCAAATGATTTAATAACCTCAAAAGCTGCATATAAGGTTAGGTAAATTTCGGTTTTCAACTTTGCGCAAACCCTTCTAGAGGCCATGTTATACAAAGTACACAATCGTGACGATAATTGGTAAGTTGATGAGGTGTCGTTAATAAGAAATCGTTGAAACTTTGACAGTTTCGAATTCCTATAGCACTTTTGGTTTTGTGTAAATTCGATATCCAATGCTCAGATGTATAAACATTAACCCAATTCACTTTGTTCAATCCTCTTGGTAACTTTTTTCTTCGAAACTTCGCCGTAAGATTAGTCTTAGATTAACTGTGATCGTGAAACAGTTATCGGAATAAGTCTTGGTTGTTAGATTAGGTGCTTCAGATAGGAAGAACTCAAATATAAATAATGTTGTTTTATTAATTCTTACCCTAAAAACATGACTTGTGACTTCTATAGAATTGTTAATGATTACAATACAATTACTTAATCTGATTCACGCGATATCAGTCGTTGTTCGTGAAAATTGATTATGTATAGAATATAGCGCCTAGGCCACTACTTTTTCGTTCTATCCCAGCTCGCCTGATGAATTCTGGCATTGAGCGAAAGGACTCGTCGGCGCTGGATATAGCAGATGTAATGTGATTGACATATTTTAACACATTATCCTTTACTTTCGCTCATGGGTTCTTAGAATCACTAATTTTGTATAATTTACTTTATTCTAGGATGTTCGGAAACAGCGGAGCCTGCAGTGCCTGTGGTCAGGTTATTCCAGCCAATGAGTTTGTTATGAAAACGCAAGGGAACGTCTACCATTTGAAGTGTTTTGCCTGCGTAAAGTGCCACAATCAGTTAAACCCCGGTGACCGTTACAACATCTTAAACGGCAGCGTATTGTGTGAACAGGACTGTCTCAAGATTTTGAAGGGTGGTACAGGAACAACTCGGAAAGGGAAGGTGCGCGCCAACTCGGCCATCAAGGCTGTGTGAATGATGTTAGATCTAAACGGCATGCCTAGTTACGTGGGTGAGCTCAATGCTGTTTTATCTTTCTGGCTCAAAGACTAAAAGATTTCTGAATATTCAAAAATGAAACAACAATAGTTATTCCCTCACTACTAGATCAAAATGAAGATCACGTGCACACTGCTAAGCCTAATCTCACTCTTCAATATTCATAGTCTGTGTCCCTATTCCAGTGAACCACTAGTAACACTTTACCTATATGTGTTTCTTAGAGCAGCGCTATCACGTCATAAGAACGATGGGTGCTTGGAGACTTGCTACAACTCCCAAGAAAAGTATGCTCCAAACAGTGTGAGGTATTTCTAATAGAGCATGTTTGACAACATATTACCGACAAGACTTAACATTAAGGTAAGAACACTAAGCCTAAAAAAAAGTGAGGCACGTAGCAGTAGTTCTGGAAATCTGGAGGTATCACGTGTTGCTCGAGGAACTGTTCGAAAGAATTGTACTTCTGTGTATTGAAAACTTTACCATTAGAGTTTTGTGAATTCTTTAAGAGATATCAAACTTCGAAAGTTTCATTTGTGTAGGATGAACTTCACTTGACATTGATTGTTTCGACTACGCTAAGGTAACGAAAGAAATAAAGACAGTTAGATATTCTGTGAGGTTGTCAACTTTAAATAAGCGAGAAAAAAATGCGTGTATAAAAAAAGGAGGTTTAAAATTGTGCTTAAAAAAAACTAACAAGTTTGATGAAAAAAAACAACAAGTAACTAAAGTTGTGTAGACATAAAGTAAATCTTATTACATTAGTCTCCCGATGTCTTGGTGTTTGTGGTCATTTCTGCGATTGATTGGTATTGGGAGGTTATTTTGTGTGAAAGACAGAAAAATCGTAGATATATGATTACAGTCCAAATATGATAATTATATCACAGACAATGTACATTGAAACACTTGGAAAATAGTTTAACTATAAAGGTTCAATTAAACATATAGATACATTAATTATTATTATTATTATGCCGGGCATTTTTAAAATGGTGAAACGTTTCGGGACGTTTTTTTACTGTATTTTATTATCTATCTAAATGTCTAAATACACGCAAGGCACACGGTTTTAAGGAAAATGTCGTAACGAATAATGACATAGGCTTTGTATATATATATATATATATTTATACACAGATCACATGTAAGAAACATGAAAACACACGATATGAAATATTAGGAAATGTTAAGTTCTTCGTGGATTTTGTTTTCTCAGGTACCAACTTCTAACGGTCAGTATTCAAGTTTCGTTTTCAAATATCTGTACAGCCAATTGTTTTTGTTTTGCCATATTGACTCACTGCTTTGTATTACAACATATGTCCCCAACAGTGAACGTATTATGATAGAAATAAAGTGGTCATATTCTTGAACTGAGACAATTCTGAGTAATAATCTACTTACCTGTACATCTAACAAATCGTCTGCTGTTGTTTGTTTACTTATCTACTCTAACAAATCGTCTGCTGTTGTTTGTTTACTTATCTACTGGGTGAATCAGTCACACTAAATATTAATATACTGGTGGGGGCAAAATGTTGTTATGTTTGTTTGAGAATAAAGCCATAGTTGGCTATCTGCTGTGTCCACCGCGAAGAATCGAATCCCGGATTTGAGCGTTGTAAGCCCATATACTTACCGTTGTCCCATCGGGGGACGCGGCGAAAAAAAAACATGAGAGATATATTAAAACATTAAAAAGATATATCTTTTCAGTTTAAAAAATGCACACACATATATGAAAATTAATCTAATTAAATATTAAAAACCAGAGATATACAATAATAAGAATAAAAACCAATCAAGTGGATAACGCACCAGACTTCTTATGAAGACGTAGGATCGAATCCTGTCCACTATTAACACAGAATATATTTATTCTCAGGGTTACGCTATTAAGAGAAAGCTGGTAATTGTAGTCAAATCCAACTATTTTCATTTCGTTTTTGTTTTTCTAAATTAGCCTTTTATTGATCAAGCATAGAAAGAAAAAGTATATAATTCAGGCGTAAACACGGTTATATTGTGTTGTTTTAAAGTCCCCCCCCCCCTCTATAAACACACACCATTTTAAGTTTGATTTCTTCACTTATTTTCATCCATTTAACATGTGGGAATCTTCGTTTTTACGTTTTATCAAACAAAATAAGATACTCTTCAATGCCAAGCCGGTCGTGGCCTAAAGGTTAATGGGCCCGAATTGTAGGTCTGAGGGTCCGTGGCTCGTATCCCATTGTTTCGAAATTGCGCCCTGCACTTTTGGGCCATGAGTGCGTTATAAGAGTGACGGTCAATTCCCCCTATTCGATTAGGGTAACTCAAGAGTTCGCGGTGGTTGATGTTGACCAACTACCTTCTCTCTAGACTGTTAGTTTCAAAACTGGGACGGCTAACAAGTTTACGCAAATATCCGAAACTAATTAACTAACCGATCCTAACCACTGAATACCTAGAATGATCTTAAAGGCAACATAGAAAACGAACTTATCAACAGCACAAAATGGTGCTGTATTAACAACCAAGAAAATAAATTGATACAATCTATTATCTCAAGTAACATATAAAAATAAACATGGCGGAGGTAATGACGTATCATCAATAATTATTGTCTTTGGTAATCTAGAAAAACAGATAACAACGAATTAAAAAAGAATGAAATCGCGCACAACGTCACGTATAAGGTGTAAAAGTACATATAAAGAAAGATTGTAAAGTATCTTATACATCCAACGTGAAATATATTTAATAGTTAACAGTACAGTGAAACTATCATTAATTATTTCTGTTCTGGAAATAACAAGAATATACAGTGGAGTGAAAATAGCAATAAAAAAGTTAACAAAAACAGCCAATAGAATGAAACGATCACCAATAAAGTTGGGCAGAAATAACAAGAGCAACCAATGGAATGAAACTATTACCAGTAAAATACAGACAAAAGGTATCAAGAACAGCCAATAGAATGAACCGATCACCAATGAAGTTGGGCAGAAATAACAAGAACAGCCAATGGAATGAAACTATTACCAGTAAAATACAGACAAAAGGTATCAAGAACAGCCAATAGAATGAACCATTTCATAAAAGTATAGACACTAGTTTGATTAATAAGTAAACAAACCTTCCCGCAACATGTACTATTGAAGATGTGAAAAATAACCTTGAGATTGAAATGATTTGGAGCAATACATAAAGCATATCAATGTAATGAAAGTTTCCGTAACCGTGATTGACATTCACCTCAGCATATATTCTGTTATTGTTAGGACTAATCAACAGATTAAAACTACTTATGAAACTTACTAAATCAAGTTGATGAAAAATAACTAACACAGTAAAACGTTTCTCATCAGGAGTAAAGATATACCATTAAAATGAATACAGGGTGATTGTAAAGTTGCTTCTCTTAAAAAACGTAGTTTTATTTCTAGTGTCTTACTCTGAAACAAACAACAATTAAGTTGGTTTAACTTGTCTTCGTAATATTTACTTTAGTAGCAATAGTACCACCCGAGTAGTACTGTTTGCTCCACGCTGTATACTTCATAACACAAGCCTGCGATGGTTTTACTGTCTTGAACTTTTTTACATGTTCTACAGTAATTCCTGTATCCAAAAATGATATCCATTTTTCTCCATCACGTACAAATTTTTCACAAAACGTCATATGTACACATAAGTGAATCATTTTCATTGAAATCTGGTCGGATTTTGTTATACTTAAAAATGTTGACAACCACTGGATATAGAGTTCTCTAGACCAATCGCGACGTGAGAGTCTTATCGATCGCTCTAGAACCCAAACATAATAATAAATAATGTTCATTGTGGTAAACGAAATAATAATTTGTTCTAAGTAAGAGTTTTTTTCTTCTTCCCGATTTGTAAAAAAAATCCTTACGTGATAGAATAAAAATGGATATTATTTTCGAAATCTGCGTAGCTGAATCATGGAAAATCCGTTACTAAAATCAAAACAACTTTTATGAAGGTTAAATTCGCAGACCAGTGTTACAGGAGATAAACAAGTGTTAGGTAGAACAACCAAGAAACTAGCAACTGCCGAAAGCTCTAATATAACTTAGTTGGTGTTTATCAATTCACCAAGAGCTTGACATTTTGGAAAATTGTTTTTCCCAAAGGAAAGACTTCCTGATATCAAATATTAATAGTAACATCATCACACGCTACCGTTGTGTACTAAACTTTCAGCTTTTTTTCTTCTTCTTTGCTCTACTGTTTACTGGTATACATTGCTTTCACCTGAAAAAACGAACTCAACAAAGTTATACATTCTGTTTTCCCAAGATGTCTTTAAGTCTTAAGTTCGTATCAATAATTAGTTCCGTGTCAAAAACCCCGTTTCTTCTATGCTTCTGCATTACGATCTTTTTGTTTTCGATCACTGTGTACGAGGCCACGTGGTATAAGACAAATCACTGGTTTTCTACAGGTATGAAAGAACGACTGAAGCCTAGTGGCAGCGTGGTAAGTTCTGTGCATATTTACTAGAATTGTTTTGAGCCCCTAACGGAATGCCTACCAGTGCCAGTATCGAGGACGTCTGTAGTTCGAGGGTTTTTACATACTTTACACATCAAACATCTGTAGCTAAACTTGAGTATTACTCAGTTGACACCTTAACTTTCCAGAAGGACTAGACCTTTGGAAACAAAATAAATAGAAGAAACGAAGAATGATTAAGAAATGAGACAGTAGATCAATAACCCAAAGATGGTGTAGGAAAACTAACTATAACCAAACACACACACATATATATATATATATATAATACTAAAACTATTTATATTTTAAGATACTTCTTGTACTTTAAATAATAAACGTCTTTATAGCGTACATAATGACATAGACATCTTTATAGTGTATATAATGACAATACATCTTTATAGTGTATATAATGACATAGACATCTTTATAGTGTATATAATGACAATACATCTTTATAGCGTACATAATGACATAGACATCTTTATAGTGTATATAATGACATAGACATCTTTATAGTGTATATAATGACATAGACTTCTTTATAGTGTATATAATGACATAGACATCTTTATAGTGTATATAATGACATAGACATCTTTATAGTGTATATAATGACGTAGACATCTTTATAGTGTATATAATGACATCTTTATAGTGTATATAATGACGTAGACATCTTTATAGTGCCCATAATGACATAGACATCTTCATGGTGTATATCATGATATAAAATTCATTATAGTGTATATAATGACATCTTTATAGTGTATATAATGACATAGACTTCTTTATAGTGTATATAATGACATCTTTATAGTGTATATAATGACATCTTTATAGTGTATATAATGACATAGACATCTTTATAGTGTATATAATGACATAGACTTCTTTATAGTGTATATAATGACATCTTTATAGTGTATATAATGACATAGACATCTTTATAGTGTATATAATGACATAGACATCTTTATAGTGTATATAATGACGTAGACATCTTTATAGTGCCCATAATGACATAGACATCTTCATGGTGTATATCATGATATAAAATTCTTTATAGTGTATATAATGACATAAAATTCTTCATAGTGTATATAACAACGTGAACGTTTTGGTCGTGCATTTTATGACATTAGCTTACACTTTATGACATTTGAATATTTACTTATTTATCGTCTATCAAGAGAAATTCACTTTGTAAACGATTTGGGTTTAATTAACAATTAAGAGAAATTGGTCGTTTAATTCCATCTCCTACAAGTCACGACACTGCTTTATGGGGCTAGTCATACTGCATTATACTAGTGTTGCTTATAACGTGTCACGGAATGTGCGCTTCATGAGTCACAGGACAAGAGAACGCGGAGGTTTACGATTAACTCGTGGGGCTTAGTGGTCAGCCTTCCTGTCGAACCGCGACATACACTGAATACGTTGCGTACTTTCAGCTGTGGATGCGTTATACAAGTGACAGTTAATCCCATTTTGTGATGGATGCTGTTGCTTGACTGCCATTTTTCTGTCTAGTAGTTCAAAATTAAAGACGTTCAACCAGATGCGTACGTATTAAGAAGTAATAAAGCGTAGCAGTAATAAAGCTCGTGACTAGAAGTTCGTGAAATGTTTATTAATCAGTTTATCAGGATTGCCATTAAGATATGACAATCTGTATCAATAATACAATATACAGTATTAACAGAAGAAGCAAGCCGCAGATAGCAGCGTATTTGCTAATACATCAAAATTTTCAAATAAATGGCTCATACGATAACACTCTAGCTAGCATTGGGTTTAAGGTTAGGCATTCGTAGCATCTAAATAAATTAACTTCATCCATCGCCTGAAAGATCTTAAATTA